AAAAAAAAAACCAAATTTTACGTGCAATAAATATGTTCACATTTTTCCATGGATTTGAATATGTAGATGTAACAATTGATTAGTTGACTAAATCTAAATATAAACTTTTTTAAAACCAAAACGTAATAACAAGTTTTTACCAAGTTTGTGGTCTCACACATTGAAATTTTCAATCTGTGTAAATTACTAAGTCAATCATTCATAGTTTTGTACTGAAAAGGTCATTAGTTATAAATTAAATGAAAAGTGGTTTGAGTTTGATAAATGTTCATGCATACGACAACATAGTTCGAAACGAGGATTAAATTAGTAAATTACTATGTTTTATTTAACTTATAAAAAAGCTTGTTAAAATCTTAATTTGAAATGAGGATCAACTTGGAGATGCTTGAAAATGATGTTGAACATCTAGATATTTGGAAATACAGAAATCTTTAGATAGTCATATTTGTTTGGTAGGAAAATACGACATCTTAAAACGTTTGAATATCCGTGTTTGTTTTGCATGATTTACATCAGGAATAGCAAAAAATTATATATTTATTTCAGAAAACTATTCATGTAATTTATACATGTCATTCATTAATTTTTTTTCTTTTATCAATTTAGTTTATATTAAATTTAAATGTTATTTTATAAAACACATTCAATCATATTATTTTGATATTTTTATAATATAATATTAATAAATAATTTCTATTTTAATTTTGAACTTTACTCTCAAAAGAAAATTATATAATTGACCGCATTTTTATTGATTTATATTTTTACATATCAAATTAGAAGAAAAAAATACTTGGGGAATAATGTTGATTTCTCTACATTTTTTTATATGTATAATTAATATGAAGTTTAAGAGAAATTACAAACTAAATAAATGGAGATATTATATAATTTACTTCTTAGTAAAATTATAATAAAATTTAATCGAAGTTTACTTTATATATAAATATACTTAATTACATATAGTTATTTATTGAATATGTTAATTCATTTTAATTATAAAATTAAAAAAGTAAAGAAAATTGATGAAAAAAAATATAGGACAAAAATATAATGAAACGAGGTCTTTAACGTGAAAATCTTGAAAATTCATGCTTCAAAAGACATCCAAAACATCTAAATATCCTACATTTTTATAAAATAAATGTAGAAATCTTAGACGTAAAAATCATAAATTTCCACAAAGAGAAACAGAAGTATAGTTTTGAGTAAAAAAACAAAGAGGAGAGATTGGTGGAAATTGAGTGAGAATTAGGATTTGTTAATTGGAAAATAGATTGGAGAATGGAGGGGGAGCGTGAGTGGTGGTGGAAATTGAAATTGAGGCAAGTCGTGGAATTGTGTTTGTGCTAATAATCCTACACGCACCAAATCRAACCACAAAGTCAAATATTGCTTTCCCCATTTTGATTCACTAACACACCATCATTACTTCTTTGGACCCTCCCCCTAACACACTATATACTTTATTAAAACTAAACAACAATGATTAATAGTAGTGCACGTTTGACCGCTAATAAAGATAATTTGAATCTTCATCCGCCACTCTCACATGTTGTTGAACTCAATAAAAAAAAAAAGAAAAAAAAAGCAACTTCAAAAAGTAAAATTAGTAATTTTGAGTACTTGGTTTGAATTTGATCCCTGTATTTTAGATTTAATTGGTTCATTATCGTTGGATCCTCCCCATCAGTATTGTATTAAATATATGACACATAGGGCCTATTTGTGAGGTTCACCGTGGAGACCAGATGTTTGAGAATATTTTCAATTTACTCTATGTTGTTTAGAAATCTTCAATCCAGTCTCTTATCTTTTTTACTTGCATTCTCTTGTTGTCAAAATATTAAAATTCACTAATAAATTAATAATAAACTTAATGGTACGAGCCTTATTAAAACGATATAAATTTAGAGCAAAAATTAAATCATTTAGAATAGGAAAGTTTCTAATTCCTCCAAATTCGTGAGATTTAAAGACTAGATTAAAACTTTCAAAATCATAGCATCACTTTGAAACTGAATTCAAACATTTTAAAACAATAAAGACCAAATTAAATTTAAGTACCCAAAAAGACGGTCACTTGCAAGTGTATCAAAAGTCGATAAAAAATAGAAAAGTCGATTATACTATTCGCGTTGATATACCTAATATCAAGTATATCAGTGATATATGTCATAATAAGTTTATCAATTGATATCATTTATAACACTCTAGGTCCAAGATTCGGATCGAGATTTGGGATCTAAATTTGGCACCTGGTGGCCCCGACATTCTCTTGCATTCCCTTCAACCTGAACTTAAAGCGTTACATATTTAACATAAAGTATACCGTTCATATATTTAGGTATATCAATTATATCATTAATACATCCAATACAAAGTATATTAGTAACAAAGATAAAATTAGAATGGAAAGGAAAACAAAAAACCTAATTTTAGTAATGTTGTCATATTTGCAAATACGAGATGTTTTTGGTAGTCATTATGCTTAAAGAATGGAGATGCAATGTGGGCTTTGGAAGGGCCCAAAATATGAGATGGGCCTGATGGGGGAAAGCGGGGGGCCTGGCCAGTGGTTGGTGACGTGGCGCGGGATTCTTATCCATGAATGGAGGGGTGGGGCCCGTTCTTCACGTGCCCCTAAACCCCTCACTCCCATGTGTTTTTCCCAAATGACAAAAACTCTTACTCAATCCTTCACAACCTCACACAATCCTTCCCCTTTTGTCTTCTTATTATGCTTTCTCTTTTGCATTTTTCCTCAAAACAAACAAACAAACGAATATATATTTTGGCAAAATCTTCCCCCAAAACTACTTTACTACACAACAATAATTAACAAAGCTTCAACTATCTTTCCGACTTTTCAATTTTGTGTCCGATACTATTGTAAATTATTGTGATAACATAGATCATATATTGAACATCTTAATTCTTTTATCTTATTTAAGTTAGGGGAATGGTGACTTTCTTGATCTTATTTTAATGTTCTTAAGAATAATATTAATCGACGTTAAATTTTTTGCAAACTACACGAAACACATATATCGGAAGGCTGCTCCCTCTCCCTCATGCTAATGGAGATCTTTTTGCACCAATTTGATATGAAAATCAATTCTTTTATGCAAATCGAAGAGGATGTAGGTTACGTGCGATATGCTGATGGCATGATTTTTACTATCAAAAGGGGAGGAAATTATGAGGCAGTGTATTACGGGGTTATACGGCTCCTCGAGAAGTCCTTGGAAAATCTAAAACAGGTCGAAACTTTTATAGAACTAATTCGAGGAAGACATGGCAAAATCCTAGTTAGAATAAGATTTTGGTGTCCCGCCCATAGGTACATCTAAAAAATTTCAATTATCACACATTACCACATAATTCTATAATTAGCATTAACGAGCTTGAACAAAGTTAAGATATCTATATTTAACTAAAAAGTCGTGAGTTCGAATCTCGAACTTGTCATATATTTTAAAATAGTGATAAAGGACTAAAAATTGCTAATTCCACGCCGAAAACAAAAAGAGAGAAAAAAAAAGGAAAATAGTGAGAGTGGCAAAATATAAAATTGTTAATAAAAATTTGGATGAATCTTACTCACGGGATCTTTCATAATGGTTTAAAATCATAACTGCATGATGTATGAACGATAATAAAAATTTTAAATAAGAATAATAATGTGTCACGGGAAGTGTGGAAAAATTAATAAAATAAATCATAGTCGCCATCCTTCCAAACTCCTTCCTCTTTTCAGTTTCTTTGCCCCACAAATATGCTTCTTCTTCTCCATTGCTCCATCTCCCACATTTCTCTCTGCTCCCATTTTCCCTCTTCACAAACCTTCCACCGCCATGGCTCCCCATCTTCAAGTCCACATCGCCGCCCACCAAACTTTCTTCCTCAGCGAGGTGTTTAATTATTTGATTTTTCTTCTCTCAATTCCCTCCCTCGTCTTTTCAATTTCATCTCATTCTGTTTCTGATTCTGTTTGCAGAAGGTTATTTCCACTTACTCGGCAAGATTTCGCCGGATAATCAAGCAGCGCCGACGGACAAGAAGACGGACGAATGCTACTTCTAGTTCGGGCACCGATTGCTCCAATTCCGCTATTGAAATCGACGATTTCCCTGGAGGAGCGAACGGATTCGAGCTCGTCTCCAGATTCTGCTACAACCACGCCCAAATCGACATCACCGTCTCCAACGTCGCACTCCTCCATTGCTGCGCCGTGTTTCTCGGAATGACGGAGGACGTCGCCGCCGGCAACCTCATCCGCCAGACCGAGAACTTCCTCGACGGAATCTTCTACTGGCCCTGGAGCGATTTGATTTTGTGTATCCAGAGCTGCGAGTCGTTTTTCTCTTTTGCTGATTCGTCGGGGCTTCTGCAGAAGCTCGTTTGCGCTGTGTTGGCCAAGATTGCGCAGAATTCGAATATGAGCCTCGTCACTCCTTCTTCGTCTTCTTCCTCATCCCCCGATAATGCCTCCGGTAATTCCAGATTCTCCACCGCTGCTAAATCGTGGTGGTTCGACGACATGTCGCTATTGTCCGCTCAGATCATTGAAAAAGTTGTACAGGGGATGGGGAGTTACGGGAGCAACAATAAAAGTTTGATTCTCACGAGATTTCTCCTCCATTACCTGAAAACTGCCGCCCAGAGCTCCGTCGGGTACGATTAAACTACTACTAGACAGAAAAACTTACAAAGAACAAATGAATGATTATCAACATTTTGTGTGTATAATCTTTTAATTCTAAAAAGGATGGATACAAACGAGAGGAAATTTACAAAAGTAGCAGGAGTTATCTCCTTTCTTCTTCCAATCCTGTTACTGGATTCAAACTCCTGGCCTTCTAATTAAGTATATTTAATCATTTATTCATATTTTTAACAGGTACGGGAGTGGTCGGCCGAGGAGTGAATACGGCGGGCTAGCGGACACGGCGGTGCACGGCGTTGTGAACGTGATGGTCGGGAAGAGTATGTTTTCTTGCCGGGGGCTGTTCTGGGTGTTGAGAGTGGTGTCTGGTTTTGGTCTGAGCAGAGATTGCCGGAGTGGGCTGGAGAAGATGATCGGCGGGATGCTGGATCAGGCAAAACTGGACGATTTGCTGATATCCGGCCACCACAGATGCACTTACGATGTGAATCTGGTGATCAGATTGGTGAGAGTATTTGTGAATAGCGACGGAGTTTACTCTGTTCACAAGCTGAAGAAGGTGGGGAAACTGGTGGACAAGTATTTGGGGGAGATTTCTCCTGACCAAAACCTCAAAATCTCCAAATTCTTGGGCGTTGCAGAGAGCTTGCCGGACTGCGCCAGAGATTGCTTCGATGGAGTATACAGAGCAATTGACATCTATCTAGAGGTGAGCAAAGAATTAAGCCCATGAACCTCTCTTTAACATTTGCGCAATAAACTTTCATACCCAAAATAGAATTTTTGCCCTTTCATAAATTAAATTTACCTAATCTCAGTCTTAAGTCTTTGGGTTGAATGATGTTTTATTCATCTTTGATATGTTATCAGAAGGTCGGATCCATGCATTGTTATTTCCTACCTCTTTATTATGATTTCCACTTAGTTTATCATTTTGAGTTGTGCGGTGGTTTATTCATTTTTAATACCCTCAGCTGAAAGATTGCATTTTGCAGTCTCATCTGAATCTTTCAATGGAAGAGAGGTCGACGCTATGCAGATGTCTGAACCACGAGAAGCTAAGCTTGGAGACGTGCAGGGCTCTGGCAAAGAACCCGAGAGTGCCACCGAGGATAGCGGTGGAGGCTCTCAAATGTCAGGCGAGGGGAGGCGGGTGTTCAAGTGAGGAGGAGGATGATAGGAGCAGTGGGTATTACAGCGAGTGCCAGAGGGTATTGTCAAGCAGTAGCATTGAGTCGGAAGGGTGCAGCAGTGGTACAGGCCGGGAAGACATGAAACTGAATTTGCAGAAGATGCAATGGAGAGTGGTGGAGTTGGAGAAAGTTTGCAGGGAAATGAGAAGCAATATGTCCAGTTTGGTTAGGCAAAGTGTGATCACTTCACCACCTGTTTACCACAGAGCTTTGCCAAGATTATGTTGAATCTCTCTGTGTGTATGAATATGTATTGTATATTGTACATCAATCCCCCACAAGATTGTAATTTCAACTCCTCAGTTGAAGCCATACATTTTTTAAGTCAATCTCGTGTGGGCGTAGACTTATAATGGACAATTTAGTATTAGTATTAATGTGTGAATAGGAAGAGAAATCATTATCTTAACAATATTCCAGGTGCTGGTGCTGCTAAAGTTGAGATGTGGAGTGGAGTGAAAATCTTGACCAAAGTTTGATATTGGAAAAGAAAACCAAGTGGAGGGAAGATTTAGTTTAGAGTAAGATTCGAAGTTAAGAGTAATTAATCTCAACTTGGAGCATCTTGGTGAATGAGAGAGAGGGAGAGGACAAGGAGGGACATAATAACAACTATACATTTTTTACTGCTCACGATTAGCTATGTTTAAAAAAAAAAAAATTACTTAGCTGCTATATCAAGTGCTGAAAACAGTTAAATTGTTGATAAATGAGAGAGAAATTTAAAAATAATAATCATAATAATAATGAGCTCTCAGTTTTTTAATAACAGCCCACGTAAAAATGAGAGAAAAGACCCAGCTATAATTTAGCTCTATTCCTTTTCTTAAAGGTTGGAGGTTCAAACCTCATATCTCAATTCGTTCTATTAAAAGAAAAGTAAGGACAAAATTTTGGTAATTGATACTTGTCTCTTTCCAAAATGTCATGAGTTCAAATTTGACCTACACTATTCTTAAATACTACTAGTTTCATAATTTTTCCTAAAAGATAGGTAAGTACCGACAACCAGCAATAAAGGGATGTAGTATGAAAATTTATAGTATAAAAATTTACATACTTTTTTTAAAAAATAAAACTTCATTTAATTAACTAAACACCTGCTGTGAGTTTAATCCCCATCCCACTTGTTGTAGTTCAACAAAAAAAAAAATGCCACGTGAGCTATAGAAGATGGAAAATTTGATTCCACTTTTTCAACAAGCCAAAAAGGAAAAATCAGAGAACCAAAACATGGAGGAGACCAACTTTTGAGTGACTGCTTTACAAAATGATGAACCGACCAAGGAGATGAACTCCTTCACATACTAACATAGTATCATAATTAAAAAAAAAAATAGATGCTCATCGGTCAGCATCTAAATATTGTCTTTAATATTCCCAATTCTTTATTTTTTTTAAATTATATTATTTTATGTCCACTTTTCTCTACTATTTCTAAAAAAATAATTTAATAGTAGATAGGTGTACTATTATTAGCAAGATAATGGCAAGAAATCGAACCTGTATTGTCGGGTCAAAACCATTGGCCCAACCAGAGCTGATTTATTTATTTATTTATATATTTTAAAACCAAACCAACCAAAGCTGATTTAGCAGCTTCCTTATTTTTTGGTTTATTTGGTTTTTTGGAATATATAAATATTTAACAACAACCAATTTGGTTCATGCACATGTCACATCCACACATGACTTTAGCTTTTCATGCATCTCATTAATTAGTTTTTCTTTTCTTTTTCTTTTTCTAATAAATTAGCGTCACACATAACTGTTCCTATCTATTATTTTTTTAGAAATATAAGTATTTTGATTATCATTTTTTATTTCAACAAACATTTTAAAATTTATGTAGAAATTTTAGACCCAATAAAATTAAATTTATTGTTTATTGTTCCTAAAATTTCCTCTCAAAATATAGATAAAAACATTATTTTCAAATTACATAATAAATATATAAATATAACATACAAAATTTGGAATATTTAATATGAAAATTAAATTTCATATACAACTTTTATTTTATTTTTTAATCTAAAATTTTAGATTTTTTTAAAAAAATTTATATTTCATAAAAAAAATCTAAAATTTTAGAGGAAGAAGAAAACGTTACCAAAAAAATAGATATTTTTTTTCTGTCTTTGGTTTTAATTTTAAAAGGTTTAATTCTTATTTTATTCTTGGATTTTTTTAGTAAACCATGTAGGGATAGAGGATCGAACTCACAACCTATTGGTTGGAGGTACATGCCGTTGAACTATGCTCGCTTTGGCTAGTATTGGGTATTTTAAATTAATGTTCATACTAAAGAAAATAAATACTTAATCTATGAACTTTTAAAACGTCTGTCTCAATTCTCAATCCTTATTTATGTTATTTACCATCTAATACCTAGTCCATTTGATACCCATCTTAGTAGAAAAATACTACTTCTACACTAGTGTGACTACTATTTTTATTCATTGACAGCTACATCAACATTATTTAAGAATGATACATATCCATAGTGCTAACGGGAGGAGTACCATGGGAGTTTTAGAAAACTTTCCCATCTCAGTAAATTTATATAGCTTCAATATATGTTCACGTTAGCATGTTAAGAATGAAATAATGGCAGAGACTAAATAATTATTTTTTAAATTTCAATAGACATTTTGAAAGCTCAATAACAAAAATGGAACAAATCTGAAAGTGATAATTGAAATATACATTTTCATATTTCATACTCCATATTTGTCGTAAAAAACAAAATGACATTTTTCAAATTTAAAAAGGGGATTTTTTTTTAGTACAAAGTTAAAAAAGGGATTGGTATAATTAATAGAAAAACTAATAAGTTATTTGGCAATTTTTGGATTATTATTGAAATTTAAGATTCGCGTGAATTGATTTGCCGCTGTTTGTGGTTTGAGGGACCATACAAAAATAAAAAAATGTATGTCTTTAACTTAAATATATA